TCTCAATCCCTTACCTGACTGTGATTGGGGCGTCGCCGCTCCTGTTGGTATAGTTGACTATTGCGTTGAAAGACTGATTGATCCACTGCCAGAGCAACACGGCTGGAGTTGTTCTACAAGATCGCAAACATTAGTCATAAACCAGGACACAAAAGAAAAGGTTGTGTTTTATATGTGTTACTGTACAACTGTATTTTCTGGTTTTAGTTAGTATGAATATTATTTTTATTAGAAAGCGTTTAAAAGATTAAAAACATGGATTTCTAGGTTCAAACAAATTTTTTCCTTCCCACGTCTAAGTAATAAATTAAAAAGCAAAAATGCAAGGAACACTAATGGATAGTGGGAGCAGTACAGGTGTTACTAATAATTAAATGTCATTGAGCCATCATGAATTTCATTATTTACACCTTTGTTTTTCCTACTGTGACATGTCAAAATGTCTCCTGTGTAAAAGGCCTATTGATGTTAATATATTTAGAAGCAGCAGTAGTGTATAAATAGTTAAATGTATAAAGTGTGTGAGTGTATCAAAGTGATCATTAAATTCTAAAAGTTCTTACTTGTAAAAGGTCATCATGCATCCAGTGATCGTCATGTTCATTGGAACCTGCGCCGACATGCGACCAATCAGGATCATTTTCTCCCCAGTGTCAGGATGGAAAGCGGAGTCAAAAATATATTTGGCTTTCCACAGTTCATCTTCTGTGAGTCCTGGAGAGACTATACCTTGTCTAAAAGACAGTAAAAGGTTACATTTAAAGAGCCACTATTATGCTAATTTCCAGCTCTTTATTTCTATTCTGGGACTCCACTAGAGTAGCTTTGTATGATTCACAGTTATCTTACACTGGTCTTTAATGCAGCCCCCACAGTTCCTCTGTCTGAAACAAGCCGTTTTAGCTCCTGTCTCTTTAAGGCCCCCCTCCCTATGAGCCCACTTTCGCAGGCCACGCAGTAACAGAACCTTGATTCGTATTTGATCAGCACTACTTAGTTTGACAGTTTAATCTGAGTTCTGTAATTTGAATGACTTGTCAATCATAAAAGGTAGCAATGCCCAAAGCATACCCTGCTATACAGTCTATTTTATTCTAAATTGGACCAGAATGTATTAAATTAACATTGTGTTGCATGGAAGAAGACTGGACACTAGCAACTGTGACCATAAAATCATTAGGAAACTGTTTACTGAGCTATTAAATCCAGTGAGAAGTCGGCTCATTTCTCCATAAGACTCCATTGTATCTGTGTTTTGCTGCAGCCAATGGAGCTGCCCCCTGCTGGCCATTACACAGAATACAGGTTTAAGACAGACCTGGAAGCTCTGTCCATGTGAGCACCACCTCTCATCTCCCCAGACTGGGGAGTGTTGGGGCTTATACCTCTAGTACACAAGCTTTGGACCGCCGGGAGCGCAGATGCTCCCAACCTCCCAGGTCGGGCAGAGTCAGCTAATATGACGGCTAGCTGCGCGGCTATTTACAGCAGTCTGAAGCCTGAGAGTTTTATAACCATTTTATAAACATTAAATAATTAATATTAATGTAAACATTAAAACATACATAGGACAGAAGATAAGAGAAAGTGTGATATGTCCCCTTTAAAGCTCTGAATACTTCCTGATACTGGTGAACTGCTTTACCTGTACTCGGTGATGATTTTGTGTGCATGAGCTAGTTGTTCGTTGGTGAGGAGGATGTTCCTGGGGTCTGTGACGGTGAAGAAATGTTTAGCCCGACCTACAAATGTGCTCTGGTCCCACCGGGGCTCCTTGATGTTTATGGAAGTGGATAGCTCTGCTGCCATATTTATCTGTGGAAAAGGAAAGTATAAATACTATAAATCATATCAGGAAACAGTCAGCATGTAGGAGTGATGCTTTAAGGTTCAAGGACGTTCGGTCTTCGTCTTCTAGAGTAAATGAATGGAAGCAGGAATGAGAATCAGAGATAAAAATAGTAGTAGTAATCTAGAATAAATGTGTTTATTGACTGCATTGTATTGAGCTGAGATTGCTGGATTCCAGAGATTCCTGGGCCCTGAGCCTAACTCACCCCGGGAGTAACATCCTTTTACTTCTTGTTTTCTTTTGCAGACACAAGTCAGTGAAGGAGGACTCGTGAAAATAAAGCCCCCTTTTTTCTGTACGTCCATTCTGCTTATTCAGCATATTGTTGCTATGGCGATGACTGACCTGACACAAGGGTGTGAGGCACTAAATTGCAAAGGCCCATTGGGCACGCACCAACCCCCCCACCTCCAAAACTGTGGCTGAAAAGCAGCTCTCGGAGAGCGACAAAGCCCTTCTGCATGTGTGAACAGTGAAACAAAGTCTTTATTATTTGGAATCAAGCAACTACAAATTGTATCAGGGTGAAGTGAGCAAAGCAGAGTAGGTTATGCAATATTTTAGGGTTTTATTATCACTACCACTGGTGAGTATTTCATTCAAACTTTTCTGCATTTATGATTTCTCAGTCCTAAACCGGATAAGACTGGCCACTGCACAGACACTGCACTCAAAAACATCAGCTCTGTGGATGTGCATGCAGCATGCTCACTGTGTGTGGGTCCATGCAACCCAGTTTGATCTGGTTTTTTTAACCATTTCAAGGTTCAACACAGACTATATTGTGACCGCCAAGGTGCAGCAAGTCTGTGCAAGGATCTGCAGCAGCATGATGAAACTCCACCTGAAATTGCACCAAAGATGGCTGCTGGGATTGGCAAGAAAACAGGCAAATCTCGATTTCAGGCGACTGTGGCACGCAGGAGACGTGCTGTCTCTTTAAATTGAATTAAAGTCCACGGGGCTCTCACGAGATGACAACAAAACACCCCCCCCTTCTCTGAACTTATCCAATAAAACACTAAATGGCTGCATGAGCTGGTTTGAGCAGAGGTTGCAGGGCACTGATACAATACTTAATGAGGGTGATATCGGAGGTCTGAACTTTGGACTGACCTTTGATCCATACACCCTCAACCGCTTCTGCCCTCTCTCTCAACCAATCAAAGGGGGGCCTGCGTGTCTACACATTAACCAGCATCTCTTCACAATCCAATGTATCACACACTAACGCTGCATGCATGCAGCATCTCATTGCAGATGTTTTAACCTCCATTTTCCTGTGTGTCTGACATCTTTTACACTGTGTAAAGCTGGTGAGTGGTCGCGGGGGTAAACACGCTCTGTGACTGGATACGGTTAATTGTCTCAACCCGACGTAGACCAGTCAAATCTGGACTGTAACTGGAGGTGCATCCTCCGGAGCACAGCGGTTCAACAAAAAAGACCTTCTCACAAACAATAGAAATCCAAGTATGAGCATTTTAACACGACTAATTGGGCACATCTGTCCAACCCCCCATCCTGATAATGATCCAGCTGTGCGCCCCAGATTCAACTAGTATCAGCCTGCCACATCCACACATCCAGCAGGATGCCTCAAGGAGCCCAAACGCGTCTAATGACAGTTTCTCTTCCACTCAGACACACAAAGTGCAAGCTGCTCTTCTCCGTGTCGACGTCTCGGTTGATTCTTTACAATAAAACCACTGATACGGACAGGTTACTTACTGCACTGTGGGCTCCGGCGGTCCGCAAGAGGTGTCCCTGAAAGGCTGCAGACAGCTAATTTTACATGCAGCAGCGTCAGCACAGCGACAGAGCACAAAGAGCCACATCCCCCCAGTGTCAGGAGCCCCGCTGACAAAATAAAAGTCCTGCCTCAAAGCAAGCAATGCACACTGGGAAAGACTGGAGGTGTAACCATAGGTGGACAATGAGAAAAACCTGGAAATGCATGTTTTTTAGTTTTCAGTAAAACAGTAAAAAAAAAAATCTTTAGGGAAACATCAGAGGTGGTGATTTAAGTTTCATTTGACTTCGTCCTTGAAAGGAGGCTTTTATTTTGAGCAGCGACCTGCGCACTACATCCGTCAACCCTCTGACATTTTCGCAGAGTTGACTCACAGGCAGTAAATCATTAATAACTGGTGAAACTTTGGATTTACACACACAGGGATTCACTAGTCTGACATTAATAGGTGAGAGTAATGTTTTGTGGATAAGTGTAAGTGTTTATAACAAGCAATAATACAGAAGAATACATAAAATAAAACCAACTCCCTCATGGCTGGGCTACAATCACTCCTATCTCTTTCATGTTTAAAAAGACTTTTATGTACACCAAATCTTTGCCTCTAATAAAGATAAATACACCAATAAATGAACATTTCCGTCACAGAAAGGCTGATTATCTTAAGAGTTAATCATCAGTGCTGACTTTGGGTGTCTGTGTCCATCTAGTGGTGACTGATGAGAGAAAATATTGCCACAAACTGTACCTAGAGGAAATAAATGACGAAGCAACTTCAGTGTTTATTTTGTATAGCTGTGGCTGCAAAACATTGAGTTATTATTTCTTTTACAACTGATGTCATTTGTACCTACTTAAATGAATTACATTAAGTCCCGTGAGAGACGGCAGAGCAGAAAGATAGCTACTTACACTTTAACAGGGTATAAAAAAGAACATAGTTTGTCTGTGCCATGTGATAAAAATCAAATACAAAAGTGCAAAGAGAACAGATCGACTTCCGACGTCTAACCCTATCATCTCACTTCACAAAATAAACTGTTGCGCTTCAGTTACAAAAAAAAAAATACAAAAAAAACAAAACATTATATATTTACTGCAACCTTTTGATTTGAGGCCATGCCAAGTGAAAGATGCAGCTTACATACTGTATACGGCAACACACTCATGGTCGTCATTGTCATTAATACCCTAACATAAAGATACTTTACATTTAGTTGTTATCTCAGCGTTAGTGGTTATTCATCTGTCCTGACAAACAGCAGGGTATCTTGACGTATTTGTTCGTAAGTGGCAACATTTCTAGCATATAAAACTCATGCACAGAGGAGGAAAACGTTGTGAAGGGGTAGTGGTAGATTGTGATAGTTTCTTATGTTTTGTGAATTATGGCACTTTTTTTTTTTTGGTCCATGTGGTTATGAATACTTCTTTTCTCAAGCCTCTGTGTAGTCATCCTCACCAGTGATTTTTTTTTTTTACAGGAAATAGTCTGGCGTTCGCCGCGTCACATGGGGTTCTCCTCTGCGTGGTGCAGGGTCAAACTGTAGGCTGAGGCAGACAAAGGGCAGGACACTTCCATCAAATCACATTTTGAGATTTTTTATTTCCGATAATAAGTAGAGAAAAAGCCCAAATTAAATGTATTTATATGAAAAAAAAAACTTTACTTACAAGGAGTATTTCAATGTGTCATCAAGTTCCATGATTGCCGCCTGGTTTCCACAACGATAACAATAGTTTGGTGCACTGAAGATCGTCACTACGTTGCGGTCGTGGCACCAATTATAACCCTAGATCAAGACATCACTTGCATGTTACCTATAACGTCAAAACCTGAAACAGAATCAGTGTATCAGCGGATAAACAAAAAGGTAAAGTACCTCCATCACCAGCTGGTGGGCTCTCGAGACCAAAGTTAGGCCGTTCGCGTGGTTGAAAGTCTCGGAAATGTCCTGCCCAAAGGTGTAGCCGGCGCCACGGGGTGAGATGCCCCAGCCACCGCGATCATCTGGGTCCGACCATAACAGGTCACACATTGGACCCTGAAACATGGAGGAAACCGCACTGATGTTTAGTCTGTCTGTCTGCAGAATTTTTCAATGGCTGCAACAAAAGATAATTTTTTATTACTTATCAATCTGCTGATTTACTTTTTTGATTCATCACTTGAGCCATGAGTTATCAGAAAACTAGGAAAAATGTCCACAACAATTTCCACATATTCAACTGCTCAGTATCATGAAGACCAGAAAACAAAACGCATAAACTTTCATAATGAATGTGTAGCAGATAATGATGTAATTGTAAAATTGTTGGAGCACAGCGGGGGAATCGTGTAACAACCATCACCTCCTCATATGTTATGGCAGTAATTCACAGAATAATGAACCATCTAAAAGGTGCCTCTAAGAGAAGTTCCTGTAATGTCAAATCTGTACTTTACTTGGACCGAACTTACCTCGTGAGGAACCTCCTGCAAGCGATCCAGCGCTCTGATGTGTTCCAGTGTGTCTATTGACGGGGACAATCCTCCATGGAGGCAGAAGATCTTACAGAAGAAAGAGAAAATAAACGACTGTATCTGTGCTTTAATGTCACACGCCACATCTGAACACACAACCTTACCTGGTTGTCTACCAGCGCGGTGAGGGGCAGGTAGTCGAACAGGTCTGTGAAGTACTTCCAAACATTGGCATTTCCATATTTCCTTAAGCACTCGTCGTAGAAGCCGTACACTTGTGTGATCTGTCTGCTCTCGTGGTTCCCTCTGAGAATTGTGATTCGTTCACGAAACCTCACCTAGGAAGAAAAACTTATTTTTAAAACAAAATGCAAGAATAATCCGCCGTGAATCACTGCCCGCCAACTCTAAATGCCAGTTAATGACAGCATCAGTGGCACATTTCTTTTACCTTCAGAGAGACCAGGAGAGAAACTGTCTCCACAGAATAGTATCCTCTGTCGACATAGTCTCCCATGAAGAGGTAGTTAGTGTCTGGAGACTTCCCCCCAATTTTAAACAGCTCCATTAGGTCATGAAACTGACCATGGACATCTCCGCAGACTGTCACCGGACATCTCACCTCCTGCACATTGGACTCCTTTGTCAGGATCTCCTTGGCCTTTAAATGGAGGACCAAGAAAACACAGGATGATGGTGATTAACAGGTAACACAGTACAGTGTGGTGCAGGAGAGCATTGGGGTTATTTTTATATTAAACAACTGAATATGCACCTTTTTTTAAAATGACTATTTCCAGCTTTAGAAGGATACATCAGCTTATTATACAGCTTGTTATGGTAGTGCCAGTGCACTCCAGTGGTGAAGAGGCACCAAGAGTGGGCGTAGCTAGGGAAAACATTTGCAGACATGCCCCTCCATCTTCTTGGCTGTGGTCTCCCATAGCAATGTACTACTGCATGCAGCAGCAGTCAAATGGTGTGCTTCCCCAAAAGCAAAAGGGGGGCCACATGCAATCTAGCTGACGATGTAAAAGCTAATGCTACCAGATAGCCTTCATGCGCAAACCTTACCTTTTCACACAGGACTTTGACCTGATTCTCTGACAGCTGTTTGCACTCATTCAGTTGTTCAATCCATCCGTCCAGCTCCTTGGTGAATGACTTGTCGTCCATGCCTGGTTTGCTGTCAGCTAACGAGCCGACCAGCTTTTTTTTACTCCCTCTTGATGGCCCAAGCTACGTCTCTTCTGGTCACTGTGTCTGTCTGTGTGTGTGTGTCCTGCTGTGTGTGTGTGTGTGTGTGTGTGCACCCCCCTCCGCGAAAATGCGTCAACTGCCTGCTGAAGTCTGGGGCAGTTTGTGGTGGGGCTTTCTTTTTTTTTTTTTTTTTTTTTATACTTCACATGATACAAAATAAAACCAAAACAAACAAACACAAAAACGATGTAGTTGTCCTCGCTGAACGACCGAGGTCACACACAGCTCGCCGTTAGTGTCGCAGAGAGACTAATGAAACTACAGCGGAGATAAATTACAGACCCAACCCTGCTGCCAACTCCGATCCAAAGCGAGGCTGAGCAACAAATCATAACTACGTCATGGCACCCCTGGTGGGCCCTTTAAGAGAGATATTTACAATATAACGTTATGTATATGTCCATTATATATATATTTTAAAAAATAATCTTCCTTTAGCTTGTTAGGGTTGTGTTTTTAAGCGTGTCGGTTGTTTTAAAAAGTGCTGGTGTTGCCGGGTGTTCTGCCCCCTGCTGGACGGACCTGGAAGAGTTCACCGAAAAACAACATTCACTGGTTGATTAGATAAATGGTGAGTAATATATATATATATTTAT